TTAAAATTTCTGAGCTTAATTTTGGAAGCATGACAAAAATTGTTGTCTGCAATGCAAAAGTTTTTTATAGCGCTTTATATGCCGACCAAAAGCTGTACATTCTAGGAGCTATAGGCCACAGAAACCATCGATCTTTACCAAATCAGAGCAGTTATTTTAGCTGTTTGTAGCCAAAAGGTAAGTCTGCTTCCCTTCAATAGCTGGAAGATAAGCAACAAGAATGTACACTTACGAGTGGAGTATACCAACATAAGTTGACGATTGAAGACGAAATGTTTATCAGTAAACGCGTCTCCAAACGCTAATTTCATCTGCTTTTCTATTTTGCGGAGCAACTCCCCGAAAGAAGTTGTGAGCGTTTGATTGTCCGAATTTGTCAAGCATTAAGTGGCATAAAATAGCGAAAAGCTTTTATAAAAACAACCTATGCAAATTTCCACCGGCTTTGCTTCTTCCTTGCCGACAACATACTTGATCAAAATTCATTACTGACTTTCAAATGTTTTTGTACAGTTCTCGCTATTTCTAGACTTCAGGATGACAAATTTGGACATTTGAACGCTCGTAACTTCTTTCGGGAATTGTTCCGCAAAAAATGGAAAGCAGATTTGGAATCAACGTTTGAAGACGAGTCTAATGACATACGTATCGTCTTCAATCTCCAACTACGTTGGTATGCTTCCCTTATCAGAGGAAAATCCATTTTAGAATATTCGCTTGACCAAACGTGTATGTGTCTAGCATTTTATCTATCAAATGCACAAAACATTCTTGTTATAGTCCCATGAATTATGAATTAAACACTAAATTAAATAGTAACACTGGACCTGAACAAAAGTACTCAGAAGTACATGAAAAAATCATTTGAAGGTGCTTATTGTTAGCTAATTGTTTTAACCTGGATAGTAATTTAGATTGTATATAACATATGTTTGATTTTATCGTGCTACGATTTCAAACAAGGCAAGACGGAAAGAAATTTAAGATATCAATATTATTAGAGAGATTACGCAAATAAATTAGCTCAGTCAAATAACTTGACCCTGCGATAGCTAAAATGAAATGGGAAGTTTTTGGACCCCTTAACATTTATAGCCACCGTCACTAAACTACTAATTAGTATTTTTTAACAGGCCCACTGCAGCGCTATAACAACAGTAAATCTTGCTTCATGCACTACGAGTATGTAAGTACATGATTTTCTCTTCTCCTATATTATATCAAACGATCATTAAAGAACATTTGCATTTTTTTGGAGCTTTTGTACATGGCTTATGTTCAGATTGAATATTATCTCTTAAGTTAGCTGCATCAACGTTTATATTCGAATCAGCTGAATCATACGTTTATATTCGAATCGCACCATTTTTGTAGAACTTAAAATTATAACTGTTTGTTCTGGCTCGAGGTTCCCCCTAAAATTCAAAGATTATATTTGCAACGCTTCTTTTGCTAATGTAAATCTTGATTTTATCGCTCTCCGATTTCATAAGAGAAACGAAAAAATTTCAAAAATATGGTTTACTAGGGACATCGCACAATAATAAATTAGCTTAGTTGAAAAAGTATACATAGACCCTGAGGCTAAAATGCAGTCGGAAGTTTAAGGATCTCCTAGCATTTTTGGAGTAAATCTTGAAGTTGGAAGGAGTAGATCCAGGAGGCAGAAAATCTTTGCAAATAATGTCTCGTTACTATATAGTGATGGAGATAGAGATTGATTGATGTTGAATAAGAACTACTCGGAACATAATCTCGCACATGACACTTCAAGAAAATATGGGTGAATGGTATTCTCGGGAAATGGGCGACATATTCTTTTTTGCTCGCCTGTTTGGTATGAACATCAATCAGTAAGAGATACGAGCGATGGTCAGCGGACTTGGTGCCGTATTGTTTCCACTTGGACAAATCGCGGAAGACGATCCACGTTGGCGAAACGGGACCAGTAATGATAACATCGGCTAAGGATGTCACAACGAACACATCGCAACGCACGAAAGTCGTCTCATCCGCGTGCAGCGAGCGCATAACTGGGAATAGTCTACTCGCGGTTCCACGGCCGGGGTCGTCGCTCATCTCCAGAACGAGCAATTTGCATGACACCGACCATGCTATTCAACAATTTTCTGGTTTTCACGCTGGACGAATAGGTTCGACAATTTCAAGCCTGTCAGAGTTTGGATGCAGCCAAATATATCTATAACAACGTGGATACAAGGCTGAAAAAAAACCATCTTTAGTCCATTGACGACGATGAGGACCGCCGGTTGCTCACACCCCTTGCAAAATCATATCCTTTCCATGTCTAGTATTTCTCCACAGTTCAGTATTTTTTCCAATTTTTGGACATTTGGTGCAAAAATTTTTGGTTACTTTTGGTGCGCTTTTCGTGCTTGCATATCACTTTAAATGATTTTGATTAGGGATCAACGCTTACCCTCCAATGTTTGGTGCTCAAGAACCGATAACCAACACAAAATCTTTTGGCAAATCAGAATTATGGGTTTGAGTATCGAAATTATAGCAGTGTAGCGCATTTCCAAAAATTCCCGTAGGTGCATTCACTACTCACAAGTGCTTCTATTGAGCATAAATGGTCAAGGTCGCTTTGCACTTATGCGAGAGGATCTTCTGCAAATTTAATAACTTTTGCATTACTTTGCAAAAGATCATCACATTGAATCTTAGTTATTCTTTAACCTAGATGATGGCATCCTGACATCATATAATGTTTTCAAGGGGATATTCGAAATTGCCAATCTAGCCGCAGCGATTTGGAAAACTGTATCTAGCGGTTCTTTTACACAAAAAAGTTGTGATCATAGAAAAACTCCTCCTGTTAATTTGAAATCAGAAATTGGCTACGACTTTTTGTAAAATGATTGTAGTGCGCTTTCTTATAGAGCACTGTGCAGTTTTTTCTTCACTACTTTTGACAATGTCTGTAGAACTGACCACAAGCCCTAGCGAAGCTATAAAAATATGGTAAGAAAAACCCTTGCTAAAACAAACGCAGGTACATTCATAGCGACATTTTCTAAAAGATTTCCTGACTCCGAATACGAGCTTTTCATCGTCACCAAATCAAACTCTTGGCCCTGAAAATAAATGTGAATGCGCAACTCGAAATGTAGTCGTCTTTCCATTGAGTTACTTGTGCTTTGCTGTCTAACACTCTTCACAGACAAGACCGTTTGAATGCTAGGTATTTAGGCCTTGCAGTTCATGAAAGGGAGAAAGGGAAAGGGGCTCGTCTATCTTCAACAGTTTATAGGCATTCTCAAACGGTACTATGTACGGGCAAGTCCATGTCGGTAGGCAAATCTCTTCTATTTACTCTTTCCTTTCATTCCCATTTTGCAACTTGTGAACATGAGTCCTCAAATTCTGCATGAATTTGAGGGTAGCGTGAAGGGTTGATGATCAGCTAATCCACGGGGACTTCCCGAGGATATCGCCCAACTTCCCAGAGTTTTAGTTGGTACTGAGGCGACTAGAAGCACAAAAAATGGGGACTTCTCCACAACACTGACGTCAGAAAGAAGCGCAGTAAAAAATTTTCCGAGAAATTCCCCAAGGTGCTGCACTTCATAATTGCCGAGGACTCAAACATGAGGGAATTTTTCCAGAACTATCGCAGTATGGCATTCTTAAGACCAAGCAGATACTTTTTTTTCTGACATATTTAAACTAAGCTTATTCTGAAAGAAGTGTGCATGCTGCTTCACCAGCCAAAGTTTAAACGGACGAAACATGCCAAGATTGGCCTAATGATTTGTTTGAGAAAATTCTGATTAAGCTCTTCTAGAACTTGCATTTTAATCATCTTCTTGTTAATCGCAATCTCTTCATCTTTGCTAGAGTTTTTTTTTCCTCAGTTTTGAGATAGTTCGACTCATTCGGTTGAAAAATGTTATTCGTACCTTTACGTCGGGAGTCAAAGCTTTGACAGGCAAAACTCAAAAAAAGCTTGAATTCTTCCTGCCAGTCTGTTGTAGTGCATTGATCCATACAGGGGGACGGAACTTAGGAACCCGAACCTAATGGGGGACGGAACTTAGGAACCCGAGCCTAATTAGCTCGATTCGGGGAGTGCCTGCAGGTTACAGTCATGCTCGTTGGCTCCGATTAATCCATACAGTGTGAAAAGTTTATGGCATACAGAACGATCCATGTCTTTAATTCAATCTAGCTGAAATATTGATGGTGATTGCTGGGTAAGAGAGTATGGAGATTGATGCTGCGAACATAATAAGTTCAAAACTATACTTAAACTCGAATTTATCCTGCCGAGATATCCCGGCCAGATCGCTATTGTCAGATTGAAGTGTTTGGCCGATTAGTTTATGGATATGATATCAAACTCACTACTCTTTCACTTTTCTTGGTAATGCACGCAAAGTTGCTTATTGATAGAAGTTTGAAACTCTGGTTGATTTATGTTGATCTAGTCACTATGTCCGAACAAGCTTTGTCGAAAACTTTGCATTATTGCCTGAATACAGCTATACATTACGTAAAGATTTCCATAAGTGTCGACCGGCAGTATCTTCTTTTTGGAAGGGTTATGAACCTGATCATTAGCAATATTCCCAAAACTGATCTTGGCTATGGTAACATGGATCTTCGCTGGATGCTAGTACAATCCCCCACAAGAAATCATCACATCATGCAGCTGGATATAAGCAAATTGTTGGCTTCTTCTATAAACGCTTAACAAAGGAAACAGAATCAGTTGCATAGCTCAAAGTCCCCCTCCCCCCCCCCCCGCCTTATAATGTCTTCAAATCAATTGGAAACAAATTTTCCAAGTTGTAGTTGCGCTAAAACCGATAAAAAAGCTTAGAAAATTTATAAGTGCAATGGACGTATCTGGGCTGAATTCAGAGCTCATCCAATTCGAGTTCTCTTCACCAATAAGTGAAGGCCCAGAAGTCAGATGATGGTAATCTTTTGCAAAATCCAGAAAAAAAGGCAAAAAATTTGGAAGAGATGCATCAGATCTAATTTTTATTACTTCCCAAATTCACTCAATATATTACTCAATATGCATTATTACAACTAAATAAAATACATATGTCCGTAGTTGTTGCGGAGCCACATACACTAAAATACGACGAAGCAATGCGTGCGTGCGTCGTCAGCGGCGCGCGCACGCACATGCACAACTGCCACTCGTACTTGAACACAGACACATTTATTTTACAAACATTAAACAAAAATGTCAGAGCGATTGTGTCTGGGCGTTTTTCTATGGCAGTCACATACACAAGCGGCCTAGACTATATATACACACAACACACTTCCAGGTAACTTTAGCATGTTTAGAGAAAATAGCGCGGGCTGCATAAGGACAACTGGTACAAATGATTTGAGGTTAGATGTGGGTATGAACGAGGAGTACGCGAAACTCTGTGGCATGTGGATGGGACCCGCATAGCGAAATCTATTCTGAAAGTCCTAGTGTTTGACACCAATGGCCGTCTATACTTAGTTTTGTGGGATAAAGTCACAGAGAGTAATTTCTTGAGGTAAATTGGGTTTCTAGAACATAGTTGAGTCATCATGCAGCTCCAATATAGAATAAAATATATGAAAATTAATGCGAAGTTACAGCCAAAAAATAGTGAAAGCTAGGCGCGGGCAGATGTGAGACACACTTTGTACAACGCAGAGACGCAGAATTGCAGAATATTATTATTAAACAATTAGGTGCAATAGAAATTCTCTCACACATACTATTCATATGTAGTGAAATATACACAAGCAGGCGGAAGAGCGCTAGAAGGAACAAGGAAATGAGATCATCACAGGGATCAGATCATGCAGCACGCCGGCGGCACACAAGCAGCTGAGCGGCAGGACGTTAGGAGAAGTGCAGAGGTCGCACGGAGACTGGCGTCGACGACTCGGGAGTCTCTGGCACCGGAGTGGTGAAGAGCGGACGACGTGAACTCGGTCGAGATGGTCCCGGGTTTGATGGCGAGTACAGGGATCCTTCGGAGTGCTGGCGAAGTGCCAGTCGAGAATGAGCTCTGAAAGATAAATTAACTTGAAAACAAACATAAAGCATCGTTACTTGATTAATTACTAACTGATCAACCTCACGCTCTTTATTTTATTTATAGAATCCAAGGAAGCAAGAAATTAGAACTTGTCATAGCTATTTCTCGTCATTCTAGTGAACTGATAAATCAGGTGAAAAACCACTAAAACCATTCCAAAAAGATTTATTAGTCAAATCTAGAAAGTTCTCGTTCACCAGAACTTATTGCTCTCAGAAAAATTGATTAGTTTATCATTTAGACTTATTGTTATCATGAGGACCCTTCTCACAAGGAAATGGTCAAAAGTCGAAGTGGCCAAACCAAACAAGCTGTATACCATTCGATGCAGTATAAAACGCTGACTTCGAATCTGTCTTCTTTATCTGCTTCCCGCTTCTGTGGACGAAGCTACAAGCCATTAGAGACCATTATTTTGCTAGAAAATTACGCGTGAAATTGGAAATTTAGCAGTGCAGAGCCACGTTCGCCTTAATGCTGGGCCAAAACATGCAGCTAGCCTACTTCAAATTTTCAAAGAAAGAAGCTGAGCTAGAAATGCAACAATGTGCTCAATTTCGCTGTTTTTATGTGTGAATTTTTCACAATAAAACCGCTTGTAGCTTTGTCCACAGAAGCGGGAAGCAGATAAGAAAGACAGATTCGAAGTCAGCGTTTTATACTGCATCGAATGGCATACAACTTGTTTGGTTTGGCCACTTCGACTTCTGACCATTCCCTTGTCAGCTTTTAAAGACTCATGAGATCTACACTATGTAGATCAAACTCGTCGATTTTAGGAGAAAGGTCTAGTTTGAAAATATATAGCATATTAATTGAGGTTTTTCAGTTGAATGCCGTAGCAAATCCAGGCATTGATTTTATTTGAAAAGTGCGAAAGTTTTCATCGAATGTAAGATTGCAAAATTGAATGAAACATTTTTCAGAGACCTTGCAAACCCGACTAGTTCTATCTTTTCCCACATCCACTTATTTACTTAGAAGGCAGTTCGTTTGGGAGCTTATTAATGTTTGGGTTCAAAAGTGTCGCTGATAATTTAGACAGCTCTGTGAAAAGAATTCTTTTATTTTATTATTATACATTCGACATATTTTTCGTTCTATGTACTGCTTTCACTGAAGTTTTTAAAACATAGATATTTCTGAAGAATTTTTACGGCTAATTTTGTGCTCTTTGTCCGCAACTTCTTTGTTTAATATTTTCCCTCTCATGATCAAATGCACAAAACCCTATAGCAGGAGATAGTCCTTTCCTCAAAGTTCTTTTTCTGAATTTTCAAAAACTTAAAACTCACGATATGCTTCTCGAGCAGGTCGTGTTACCCCAGCTTTTCTTGTGGAAATTGAATTGTTTGAGATGATGCGTGAATCTAACATCAGCCATCGCCACGTAGTTGCACGGCTCGCACAAATTCTGAAATCACAGAACTAAGCCCCAAGAGTAGTTTGGTCCAAGTTAGAACAAGCGTGTCCTCGCACAAAGTCGGCAAGGTCACCATGCACATGGTCACTGCAACTTTTTATGCGCTCATAAATGTGTCGATTGATGTTTGCCGGCAAAGAAGACCCCTCCCCCCTATAATTACAAACTTGCAAAGAAAACTCACTCGATCCGCAGATTGGCAGAAGGTTTCGAAGAAATTCCGATAGCCCTTGTCGACGACGTAGATTTCAGGAAAATCTACTTTCGGATAGACATCCACGTGTCGCTGTCGATCCACACTTCGTAGCATTTGTGCCCTATGACTCCGCCATGAGAAACTGTATGGATACGGTAGCTGGCACGAACTCACATCGAAGGACCACGTTTTTGACTGTATTCACAATAGAAGATGGGTATCCGGCGGTGAATCTCTTCAAGGTGTTGAGAGTTTGATGGGAAGAAGATTTCTTCACATTTTGCGGTATCGTAGATGTTGATGGCTCCCTAAAATCAATTTTTTTATGCAAACTAATGATAGCAACATTCAAAATTCGGTGTTTTCGTGCAAAAACCACGTTAGTTGCATATTTATATCCTTTTCGATAATTCATTCTTTACCCATATGTATTTTTCATGGATTTTTTTTTGTGATTTAACGGTCCCACTATTCATGTGATTTTTATCCAGATGAAATATGTATGCCAAAACCACGCTTTGCTGTCAGTAAACTACATCTTTCCAAAGCAATAATTTTCATTATGACAACTCCAAAGCAATAATTTTCATAGTGACAATTTTCATGCTGTTTTTTGAGTTAGGTTTTCTCGCTAATTATGAAAAATGACCTCTCTCTCCCGCCAAAATCGTACTTCTGATCATAACAACAAAAATCAAAATTTAACCCGATGATACTTTTACCCATTTGGGCACCCAGGAATTCACCATTTCAGTAGAAATATACCAAAATTATCCTATTTCGCAAAGAAAGTTGTGGTTTCCCAATTATACAATTATCTGCCCACAAAAGGCTCAACAGCGCAGAGAGACTAATTACTCAATCAAGTCGGCTACTCTCATAAAACCACTTGTCAAACAAAAATTGCAATTTGCACTCCTTATTGAACCCTCGGGTGGCAATACATCAAAGATGATTACCGCCTCAGACCTATGCGATTTACCAAATCAATAAAGAGAACTCCATAAATCTGCACAAAACTAACCTTAATATGTCCACCATTGAACTCGTACGGATATCGACAATCGACGAGCACATACTTCTCGGCAAATTCTTCGCTACTCATAGATTTCATGAGCTGACAAAGTGTTTGAGCATCAATACGACGAAAAGCCTGAGAGTCATTGGTGGTCAGGGTGTCCAGATGGTATTTCTGAAAAAAAAAGTTTTTGATTGGAGAAAGGAGACGACCATGGAAGTCTGTGAGAGAGAATACGGACCACATCAAGGAGTTGGGGAAGATGGTGCCCGAGTTCAAGAACAGAGGAAGATTGAACTCGAAGCATCACAGAAGTTCTTTTGGTGGTGGTTGTGGTAGTTCTCGTGAAACTTTTGGAAGATGCGGAACATGTGGGGGAATTCTGAAAATTGAAATATTTTTCAAATAAAAACAGACTAAAAATGCACTACCTCATGCTCTTCATTGATCTCGTCGATTCTATGCCTCTTATTCTCCAAATTGTTCACATACAAACCTCTTTTTCTATTATTATACAAGCTATTAGCTCGCAACAATTGCGGCTTAGCGAAAAACGTTTTTCTCGATTTTGGTGACTCCGCCGAACATACACGGGGGCTGAAAAATGTGAAATTTCACTACTGAATTTGAGGGCCCATAAAAAGGCTCAAAAGCTAACCTATTAGTCACATCGGAAAGTGCTCTCCTTAGCACTTTTGGATTACTCAGGACATCTTTCACTTCCAGTTCTTCATTTTTCGAACAAATCATATTTGTTGTTTCGATCTGTAGGGATTCTTCAATGACTAGATCATCCATTTCCATGTCGGAACTTTTGAACTGAAATGCTCCTCATTATCTACATATTTGCGAAGAAAACACAATCAGCTGGGTTCCGATCTATCAATATCTCCTATACATTTATTAAAGTTCTTCATGATGCTATTTTCTAAACTCATTCCGTGCAACAATTTTCCCGAAAGATATTGAATCCCTATTTATTTTTTTCATAGTAATCTACTATCTGTAAGGTCTTTGGCCCCTCTCCTTCTATTTTACTTCTTCAACTGAAAAGTATTGAAGATTTGTTTTGGAGTTTCTATTACCTGAATATTTTATTTGCTTTCAAAAACAATTCCTGCTCACTGAGTTATAAAGGAAATTTATGTTTTTTTTGACATTTTCAACTGATAAAGGCTGGAAAGAGAGAAGGAATTGCAAAGAATAATTTGATAGATTAAATATTCATCGTATAGAACTAAGTCAAGAAGTTCACATAAGGAGATTCATGCAGAGATTATCTGGGTGAACGTTTTTGATTTTTTTTTTGAATTTTTTGAAACTGGAAAATTGCAAAACTCTGAAAAATTTACAAATCCTGAACTTATTAACAGCATTTTCTACAAAGAAAACGTACAACAAAACCCCAGAGGTTTTTTTGGATTTTCAAAACTTTAATTTACAAAAGCTCGCAGCATTTCCCAAAAATTCAATTTTCATCAAAATTATAGCTTCCTAAACATCTCGATCCCTCCCCATCTGCACTAATCCCTTCACCACGTGTCCCAAAAACTCCTCAGGAGTGACCTCAAGCATGTCTCAAGAAGTAATTATGTGCGGCCCCTTACCGCATGTGGTATCGCACGGTAAACAACAGCAAGTAGGGTAAAAGGTGCTTACCTGGAATGTCGATGTCGATTTTTTGAAGTAGGAAGAATGCGAGGAAAAATCCATAGGCATATTCTCGTAGTCCATCTCACCGAAACCGGAATCTCGGGAGCTTTCGTCCGTTTCCCGGTTCGTGGACGACATGTCTGAAATGGGAAGGAGGATTGGAAGAGCAAAGGAAGCATATAAAGTAAATGGGAAATAAGGAAATGCAAGCGAGAAGGCCAAGCTATGAAGGAATGATTTAGTGTTCCCCAGTTCTTATGGGATTTCCCACATGTACTTGTAAAATCCCCAGATCATTAATGACACTGGTGACCTTAGAAGGTGTAGTGGGTGCACATCGATGGCGCAATAGGTTGGCTGGACTAGGCCTGTCCTCGAGCCCGCCCCACCTCGACACGACCTGACGGGGCCGCGCGGACCCCACGAGATGGGTGGAGATTGCCGTTGGGACCAGCTCCCCGCGGCAGTGAATCTATCCCCAGGCACTCGTTAATGGGACGCTATTCAGAGGGACCTGGACTGTGACGGGGTGATGCCAACGGCGAAATTCCAAGCTCAGCGGCGCGTTACTTCACACATTTATGAAAGAATAGAAATGGGCAGTTGAAATTGCTCGTGGCTAATTGTGAGAACGTCGGATGTCCAACAAAGAGGGGGGGGGGGGGAGAAAAAGTTTGGTTAACATGTAGGCTAGAAACTTGTGAAAATAAATGTTGTTTATAGATAAGAACTTCTGAAAGATGTTGGAGTCCACGAATAAAAGGACTCATTTTTTCATGAACTTCATAGACCTCCATGTATAAAACTGGTCATATAAGGTCTGAATGAACCACTAATAATCCAAATTCAAAATTAAAAATTCTACTTATCAAAAAAGCAGCTAATAATTTTCTCAAATCCATCTTCCCAAGATTCGAAAGAAGTCTTCAAAGATTTGATTGTACTATCAATTCTAGCCAGAATCAGATGGAAGCAGCGATAGCACATTGATTCAAAGGTCATTGATATTAGAGGGCAAAACCGCTCAGAAAGAAAATGGATGATTAGCAAAAAAGGAAATTTTCTTCTAATAAAAGAAAAATCTTTCCAGATCAAGAAAAGTTGACAGATACTAGGCGAGATAATTTTTGCGCTCATAGAAATCGTTGTTCATGGAATTGTTGCAAAGAGATAAGTACAAAATTCACTGCAATTTTCAAGAATAATTTCGGATTTTTTTAGATTTGTAAGATTATAATTGCCCCCTTCTGTGAACAATTTTTGGATTTATACCTTTGTCAAAATGATGATTTCCTGCAGAGTTTTGTCGAAAGCTGCGATTTTTCAAATGCAATATTTTTAGTCAAGTGAAATTTGGTAAAGTTGAGAGAAAAGGAGATGCATGTTTTTTGGAATGATTTGGCCTGGAATAGTGATTTCAAAAACAAGATGAGAAAGTCTTAAGAAAGTAGAAAAGAAATAAAGCACATTTGAGAAGATGCATGTTTCTAATCGAATCTAAGTAGCCGTAAAATTCAATTTCACGCAAAAAAAATTCACACCTTCTAAGAGATGAGATTTACTGATAGCGTTGCGCCAAAAACGGCGTATCCACGAAAAATCTGGAGCGTCACAAAAAATAGGCCTATTGGCACATTTTCACTCAACGATCTCGGCACTCGAATGAAGTTTAAACGAGTCGAAGTTTATTTAAGCAGTGCGTAGACACGGTGACCGTTACCGACGTTTGTGAAGAAGACTAATGAAGGTCGCCGAGACGACGACGACGAAGTAGATAAGAATGTGAAAGAGACTCGCAAATTCACGCGTATTGTAGGCCACGGCCGAGCCGAGCTACTCAAAAAGATCTCAAATTGATCTCCAAGGACAAGAAAAAAAACTTTGAGAGCGAGCGTTCTCCTTGAGAGAAGAGCTCACGAATGGGAACTGTGAGGAGTGTAGAAAACCCTAAACGGCACTAAATCGCCATAGGTATTAGCCCATGAATAAATTCTTATCTCGAGCACTCAGGACACTGTAAATTTATGCATTGAACAGAATTTTGCCATTGGCATCTCAACGAGGATTCGATTGGCACTCGATGCTCTGAGCTGTCTGCCCAAGGCAAAAGTTGCTACCCTTGGTGTTATCGCACAGCTGTTAGGAATTGTTTTGGTCCATATTTTCAAAGAATAATTCAAGAAGAAAATGACGTTTGAAACTCCAAAAGAACGGCAGTCTTGGAAGCATAAAAGAATGTGAAGGCAGATTACAACACTGATTCAAAAGGATACCCATACGCTTGTAAATCAATCCCAACCAATGCAAACAAAACAGTAAAAGTCGATTGTTTTATAGGTGGTGGGAAGGTGACGGATACGATGTATACACTGATTGATTGGAAAGATTTACCACAGATCAAAAAGGGAATAGTTGATCAACCTAAGCAGAAACTCACAAATTTGACATTCGAAAAGTTTGTTTTATAAGCGTTGCTTGTACTTTCTATAGCGTAATGACGATAAATACCAACTCAAATTCATTTTGTGAAATCCCATCTCGAAAAATCTGACGGAGCAAGAAATTCCGCAGGAATTAATGAAAACTCGAGGGAATCTACTCATGTTCCACAGAAATGTATAACTAATCTACATTCTTCTAAAGCACACCTTTCAAACGTAATAGCATACAGTTTATTTCCACTTTCCAATGCATTTTATCAGAAATTTTTACTCATGCCAAAGTCGCGAAAATTCAAGTTGGGCAATCCATTTCTTTCCTTTGGCAAAAGCGAAGCATACAAACCACGAAACTATTTAGGTTTCATGAACTTGGTAGGAATTTTCTATTTGAAAACAAAGATGCGATCTGTTTGGTAATGCATTTCCGATAAGTTTTCATAAATAGGTGCTTAAATCTTAATCAAAGCTATGATGTTTTTCCAAAGATACCCATCATAAGTGGGTATGAAAAATGTATTGAAATTAACAGAAAGTTTAGCAAACGCAAATGTTATTCTAGTCTCTGATTTGAACTTTCCTCTAATTCAGATTCCAAATAACTAATGACTTGATAATCATTCCAATATCAAAATGCATCTAATTTTTAAAGAAACTTTTTGAAAATTTTTTGAGATAATATGAAAAGGGCTATTATAGAGTCCGGGACTCAAGTCTCATGACTAGAGGGCTTTTGTCTTTAATATACTCTTTAATTCAATAACATGCTTCGTTTTGATGCCATGATTCTTTACAGAAAGCCTCCAACATCCTTTTTCCTGTTCCACTCGCCGCTTTGATGGCCATGAGCACTTCACACCTCAGATTGACATGAGAAATTTTGCCAATAAGCAGGGCACAGACCTAGCCCCAGCCTTCCTTGCTGGCCTGGTCAGCATCATCTTCAGGCATTGGCTTCGAGCAAAAGGATTTGAGATCTTCTAGGCCAGGTTAATTACCCAGTTCAATGCATCTTCGTTCGGCACACCTGCCTTTATCCATGTGAATCTACACCTGTAGCTATGTCGCAACACACAACAGCTACGTGCCGACACAGGGACCTCTAATTGGTATAGCTGCTAGGGAGGGAGGGGGGGGGGAGGGGGAGGACCTTTGACGGGGCTCCTTCGGATGTCATTCCAGAAAGGGAAGGCTCTGAAACGGGCCGCCACGACGGAACAAAAGGCGCAGTACCTGCGGTTCGGCGGGTGCGAAGTGTCCGTCATGCTGAGGTCAAATAAACTCTTCCTTGGCCATGGCCATTTAACTCGTAAAAAATTCGGATCGCGAGTTTGGCAATGACCTTTTGCGAGCGTAGCGCGGTTAGAAACCATTTCAAGTGAGCCGAGTTGCCGTACGCTAAGTTGTGTTATCAAAATTGTTGATCCAAGGACGAAGATCGTCGTCACTTCGCAACAGTTCCAGGCACCGCCACAGCCGCAAAAGAACAAAAAGATGACTCCGAAATGACCGTGTGCGTTTAAATTTTTCCCTCCCCCCTCCTTATCCGCCGAGCCATCGATGCCGATGAGATTTGAGAAGATTGAGCAGGTGTCCCGGCTCATTCCCCTACCTACTACCTGTCATTTATTACCCGAATACCTATGATGGAATGCCCGGGGAATCTGAAGCCCATCTGCAGATTTTTTCGGGTCAGCACTCGATGCTTCAGCGACTAATTCAAGTTGACAACCTGCAAACGTTGACCGTATGGCCTCATCCCCTCACTCGTCCTCCGCGTCCATCTTTTGACAAAGACATCGGCTTCGATGACGTAACCCTTTTGGAGTGCACACATAAAGACAATAGGGACATGCCACCGACATGACAAGGTGTTCGTGCCCAATAACTTCTATAGATAGAAATCTTAGCCGCATGTTAGCACAACCAGGATATTGACATAATTGATGCTTTCAAAGTTAACTGATGAAAATTGAAACCTCCAAGAGTCCAAAATTCGAACTAGTCTAGGTGAACTAAAACTGACATTCCCTTGAAGAGCATCGTAGTTTGCAACTCTCAAATTACCTTCTTTATCTTCAATGTAACATGAAAGATGCTTTTTGATTCTAACCATAAGCGGACCACTACAATCAACCTGCGGACGTTCTCAGTCTCTAAGTTGAAGGTCAAAATAGAATTCATCCCAATGTCACAGAAGAGTATTTGGACAATTGAACAGAAGTTATTTGCGTTCAGATTTTTTGCGAATTTTGTTTAATTCAATGGTTCTTAGAATTCAAACGAATTTGAGCTATGTTCAGGTCATAGATATTCATATTTTATACTTTGATGATTCTGTTGTTATTACATCTAGAGTTATCTAGTTTTTTTCAAGTTTTTCTTTCACTTCATAAGCCTAAGCGTTTCCATTCCTTAAGGTTGTATACAGTACGTTCCTTATCTAAATAAAACACTAACAAGCTGGCGAGATTGTAAATAAAATATCCACTTTATTTATTTGAAAACCTATATTTTTGTATCTTTAGTCTTCTGGTAATTTGAGTTTCAGAAGCACAATCCAAAAGATATCCCTAACTTATTCAAACTGTTTTGCATAAACTTTTCACTTTGTTTCGATTGAGAGAAGTTTTTCACTGAGTGTGTTATTCTTGCTACTTCAAATAAGAACCATTCTCGGACCGTTGGATACCGACGGATCCGGATTAACCCTACTGGCTTACACAACGATCGGTCAGTGGTGTTATGCAACGCTATCAAGTCTCGAGTATCTTTAAGTAAACTTTTCGGGTTTGCGTAATGTAAGAAGAATGGTACTTGGGTGGAACTAGGGACAACACTTGATTCTTGCGTTGGGTAGATGCATGAGAAAGTCGTTTAGATATTGTGCAACTGTAAAGGTTTTGAGGTTAAAGCACGAAAAAAAAATCAACAAAAATTTTTTTTCATGTAGAGCATCTTATGGCCAAAATCTTGCTTACCCAAACGTAGTAAATAAGCAAATAGCAGTTCCAAGTGTGACCCAACTCCACGCCTATCTGGTCATGTTCTCAGTGCCCGTCAGTTATATCGCTGATCATTTCCCAGATAAACGCTCATTGCATGTGCCTGTTGATTGTGGCCAATTACCCAGCGATTTTCCATCAAAAATCTCTCCCCCAAGTCACATTTCCCACGACTCCTTCCGGTTCCCACACCCTCACACAGCGTTTAAAAATATTGCTTGGTTAGATGTATGAAAGCTGCTTCGGTCTTGTTGTAATGTCTACCATCTGGCGTTTGCGAATGTCACCTATCGTGGTGTTCGAAGCGTCTCCAAGTGAGGATGAAGATTGCATGTTGCGACATTTGAATATCTTCTGAACAGCCTTGACAAATTCCAGTCTGCATAAACAAAATACTCGCTCTCAGAAATCCTCATCAATCCTCGATCTTGCGCTAAAAGGCTGCCACCAGAAACTTACTAGAAACGCCTCACTTTACGATTTGTACTGGTCAGGCAATCCATTCTATGAAGATATTTAATCGTACTCACAAAAATTCACATGGCAGTGATTTTCACAGAAGCAACAAGACACAGCTTATTTCAGGTTGATTTTGTTTATTTTTTACCTACCAATAACCTCAAAAGATGGCGACAATTCACTCCTTTGAACAGTGTTTGAAAAAACTGTGAAAAAACCATTAGCAAGTTGAATAAAAATTCTGATAAGAGTATTCCTCATATTTTTATACTCCAGAATCTTGAATAAACGTACAATAAAGAAATGCACATGCAATGCATTGGTCACATACAACTAAAGCGTGATTACCGATAGAGAAGTTAGAGATTTCTTTTCTGTGGCTGTTTGATCCACGACTATTTTTACAACAAGTTAGGGAGCCAAAATAACAAAATGTGGAATGAATTTGATTTTTTTTTCAAAATCATTTCCCACAGGTATTGATGCCTAGGAAACAAGCTTTTCCCAATTAATTCTGGAACTTTCAAATACCTATGCAATATTTATTAGTATTATTCTTGAGATTAATTCTTAAGATTAATACGCTTATATTCCTCACATCCATTGGTGTTCGAAAATGCATTTGCTAGAATTCTGAAGGAAAAGAACATATATTCATCTTATTAAGATGTTTTTGTGGTTTCTTGAGTGGTTTGCCAAACCTCGGAATGAAGTAGATAAGTTTTCATTGTGACAATTCAGTATCAGATAAACACGAAACTTGAATTTGTGGTTCATCAGTGAAAACTCACATAAAAACTATATGAATGAATTTTTCTTGATAAAAATCAAAAATCAATATCAGTGTAATAATATAAAACTTCAAACGAATTTTCCAATTTAATAAAGCATATTAGCTTCCTATCGAATGTTAGCAAAACTGCTAAGAGCTCGAACCCAAACATTCCATAAATTATCTTTCTTATACCACTTCTAATTTTTTTCACATTCTTTTACTGTGCCTCATATGCCACATTTTTTTTCGTCGAACACTTTCCCCCAGCCATTTACGCAGTTAGTGAAAGTCATTCGAAACAGATGTTTCGCGCTTATCGCGCACGCTGACGCGTTTTCACTGTTCGTTGCGCATGCGGGCCACCGCGGCGCCGCTTCAAAGGCGCCGCGCCGGAAACTGTACGGTAGTCGAGCGTGCGAGTCGTACATACTAGTTTCGGCCAGGAATTAGTAACCAGTCAGCTGGTGTTGACACAAAGCCGAATCAATCAACTCACTTGACGCGGAAGTGCCGAATCCGGGTTGATGCGGTGCTGGTGGTGGTGGCTGCGCCATCGCGTTGGGCCCAGTAGGAGTCGACGACGACGGCGACAACGATAGCTAACGCAGCTTCGACGTCCTCTGCAAGCAGAAATCTTCGAATTTTATTAGGTCGGAAAATACGTAAGACGAGACGACCTCTATGAACAGAGAAAATCAACAGAAGAGTACCAAAAAAACTACAGTCATTCGCAGATAGGAAACTAATGGGAAAATGTGAAAAATACAACTAGGATAAAGAACTAGAAGAAAAAGTGTGAAAAAGTGGAATCTCTGGAAGAATCTCTGGAAAAAAGAACGACCGATTAATATGTTGCCAAGAAAAGTTTGAGAAAGAAGCCATTACAATGTATTAATAAAAAGAGCATGTGATGTTGTAGAGTAAGCGAATGAATGTCTAGTTTCTGCTTTTCAAGAGTCAGTTCACGCAGACGCTTTTCAAAAAATTCAATAAAGTAAGTAGGCAACAGGTGCAAACAATTCCATAAATGTTCAGGATTGTCTTCAGGACCTACTAGAAAACAGTAAGAAACAGTTAGAAACTTCTATTTAACTCCAAAATCTACGAGATTCTATCGTCCATAATAGGAATGATAAGACGGTAAAAATACCGTATAAATAATGACATTTAAAAATTTCTCGATTTCTGGCAGGACATAAGAAGTAGCCCAAGATCCAGCCATCAAGCTGTGTAGGTGCGAGGCATGGAAAAATACGCATTCGGATTAACAGCAGGAGGAACTGGCACCAATTTGCAGCTGGCTGTCAGCATGTCAGCGCCACCGTGGGAATTCGGACTACCTTCCAGTTTAGCTGGATCCAAAACGGAAGAGTCTACGAGTGGAGGAATGGAAGAGTCAGCTCAGCTCTAGAGGTCATTAGGTAATGCGCTAGGCAAACTTCTACGCTTAAGAGCAACCTAATGGATTACGTGGATGTCACGGTCGAAGGTCGGATAGCCGAAGTGAGCAGTGCTCAGGTGAGCTGATATAAACGAGGGGCAATCTAAAGTGGTTTGACTGGCAAGCTCGACCAATACTGGGTTTCTTTGCCTAAACTGACCGTCTTGCGTTCGTCAAGGGGGTTCTCGAGTTTCGTGGGTATCAAAGCGAGCCGACCTAACCTGGGTTGCATCGGATTACGTGAACGTATGGCTACTTGTCAATGGCCGGGCGGTGAGGACAGAGGCAAAGGTCGCGAACTCCGCTGTGCTCGCGAAGGGGTATAGACATCCCACAAATCCACGGCCGACCCAAAGAGCTGGATCCATTGCAAATCCAGAAATTGGTTCAAACCGCATAAGAAAAGGCAGCTGCGCATGCCGCAACAGTCGTAATTACGGTGCTTGCCCCGGCATTCCGCCGTACCGGCCCGTCGCCCCGTCGTCGTGATGGAAATGACCCGAGCTCGCTGGGACATTTGAACAGATGATGGCCCCGCACAATAGTACGGGGCTTTCGCTAGTCTCGGGTCATCGTGCAAATACCTATACACATCAAGAGGCTCTTTCTGAGGACAGATGTTCGCGACGAGGCGAGAATGGGCGAATGCGAGATTTGCCGAAGCCATTCAAATGGCAACGCTTGGATGAGTCGCGCGGACGAGTGCATCCACTTTGAATGAGCTAGTATCTATGTACCTATTGCAACGTCTGAAAGTGAGGATCAGAATCTAAGTAGCCGCCTTCAAACTCGCAGTGAGAACCAGAGCAGCTAATAACACCGCAACGAAATAGACGAGCTTGAAAACCAAATTATGGTATGGGTAGGTATTAATTTCGTAAGGTGATACAATCGAAATCGTCCGCTATGCAAAATTACTCGATAGAAGGAATGAAAAGCTAGATAAAATATCCAAGAGAATATAGATAGGGGTTAGCAGTTTCCTCTTGATCAACTGTCACCTTAAGAGTACTATTATAAAATCTTGCGAAATTTTTGAGAAGCTTAATACATGAACATCCTTGAATTAGATCAGTGTGACCATAAAAAATCTCCAATGGTGATTATGAAAGCAAAGAAGAGGACGAGTGTTGACGATAAAAGAAAGTAGCGGTAAAGAAAACACAGATGTATAAGGATGAAGAATCATATACAAATTTTTTGAGCAGATATCGCAACAAAATGGGGATTATCGAGTGATATAGTATGGATGCGGTGCAGGAGGAACCAAAGGCCTACCGCCTGTACCCGTAGGAGATTAATAGGAGCGCGAGCATTGTGGGGAAGATTTTGGCGAGGACATCTATTAGAAACAAGCCTTTATAACTCTCCTTGGGAATAACTTTGAAGAATACGAAGGATAGATTTGGAATCAGTATTAAAATGCGCATTTTTCAGTAATACTTCTACCGGATAGATAAACAACTCTGTCTCGCTGCTCAAGTTCTATCTTTACCAAAACCTGAACCTTCAAAATTCACCATTAAAAGCTCGGAATTTCAAGTTCAATGTTGTGTGAATTTCAAGAGAATTTTTAAGTGATTTTTTTGGATTCGAAGATGAAGGTAGGGAATGGTAAAGGAAATAATATTATCTAATAATTTGTTGTGATGAACTTTTGCTATTGTGTACAGCCTCGATAGGATTGCCGACATAGTTTCAAAGGCGAATCCTACGCAGTCCCTGTCAAAATTCAAAATAGAATAGGTTTGAAGTGAGACAAAACGCATATTGCATCTTGACGTAAGCCTCCAGATGTGTTTTTATGATATTTTAATTGCTTTGGTTTGTTGACTCAAAAGGCAAACTATTTCTTATACAAAGAAAAAAGAATGAATTTTGAATAAAATCCCGGTCTTCAACAATCTGTAACTTCAAAATTCATAAAACAAAAAGTTTCTATAAGAAAGTTGATTTTTCTCATAAGAAGTTCGAACAGTGAAGTGAAAAACACGAGTTACGCCGATAATCTGTATTATAAATAGGAAGAATTTTCTTTTATATTTTGAGACGACTAAAGGTTGTGAAAAAGAAAAAAATAATACATTTATTACTCTAACACGTTTATTTGATTTTTATTTGGATTTTTTTACGATTACCTACTTATATGGTTTTAGAGAAAAATCGAACAAACTGCTGATAAGAAAGAATGATTTGATTTTGCGTCAGATAAAGCAGAGAGACTTTCTTTTTTGGATGTTATAAACGAGGTGAGGAGAAAAGTAGGCACATAAAAATTTGTACAACGAAAATTTGATTTGGCTCCGCAGCTGGGAGTTTTTCAAGCTATAATTTTCACAACCAGATATTAGCCTTTTAATAGCTCTGATGCAATGACTTGCTAGATGGGTGTAAATGACTGTCGAAAAATACGAGCTCTGCTGCTCTGGCGGACGATACAGAGGGTAGAGGAGTGAATGCCGTGTAATCCAATACGTATTGTATCCATTTGCCAGGTGGTATTCATACGTCTCCAATACATTCATACGGGGCGGAATAGCCGCCCCGTATGAATGTTCGGTCAGGTAATTTCATGCTCAAATTGATATGTCGAATGATTTTGTTTGAAATAAAAGAAATCAAAACCGAATCTTAAGGGTGCTTAGCACTTTTGTGGAGAGCTCCGCCCACGAAAGTGCCAAACTCCGCCCACTTTTTTTTAAAAAAGGGCCCTTTCGAACTCTGCGAGGCCCTAAGTCCTCAGCTAAGCTCCCGTCAGCACCTCATCAGTCCTAAATCAGCTGCTAACATTCGGCAGTCTGTTCGCTGAGATCACTAGGCCACGAATCCAAGGCAGCGGGTTAGTCGGCCACCGAGACACTGCTCCCAATCGAGATGCTACAGACTACCGACCGTAGGCAGAGACAGTAGCCATTGCGTTATGCAATCGATCATAAGAAGCTCATCAACCGTCGAAATAGTGGGAGCGGAAACGGAGCGCACAGACTGGTAGCCGAGCGAACGAACAGCTGACGTTCAGATGAGCATTCATCATAGGGCCATATTCAAATTCCAGTACACTGGTACCGAGCTGAACGACATGCTTTCGGCAAGAACCGAAATGATGACAACGAGCGATGACAAGCGCTCTGAAGGCAGCGGCACAATTTGGACGAGGTTTTGGACTATACGAGGGTGAGCTGAGACAGGGCGCTAAATTCTCCCTGGCAATAAAAAAGGAATTTTTTTCTAAAATCATTCTGTCAGCGGTTACTATGATTATGCATTAAATAGAGACGTGAACTGTTGCAATCTTTGCTATGGCTGCTTTTTGAAAAAATATGAGCTGTTGCGTGGATTGAAATATGGAACAATGAAATAACCAGTTACTGTAGGGTTACGGTATAGATACAACAGTTCTAATGTAGCTTCACGTCATATACAATACCGCTCAGAGAACATGTTGATTTCGAGAACTTCATAACAAACCGCAGCAATTTTTAAATTAAAAGTGCATATTTGGAAGATAGAGGCTGCGTAATTTGCGTGATATCGCGATATTAACCAAAATCGCGAAAACCCAATGAAGTGCCGCGAATGTGGCGACATTCCCAGAAGTTTCACAATTATTGTAAGCGATATTGTATCACCCTCAAGAAGCCAAGAGACTCAGAACATTTTTGACATAACCGAATGAAAACTACAGTATGACCACATGAAAAAACTTGTTTTTAAGTAAGTCCAGCGCATCTCCAGAGTTCTACGGCAAATTGATCCTGGAGAAAATAAGCCAAGTTCTGAGAATTCGAACAGAAAAATTTTCGGTCGTCTAAAACTTCTGAAAGTTGATGTTGCAGAACACCAAAATCACTACCGTAATCCAAGAAAATACTAGCGTAATCTCTATGCATCTCAAAATAAAGGAAGCTAAGTAAGCATCAGACCTGACGAGAGAAATGACAAACAGTAATGGCGGGTATGCAGTGGTTATAAAAGAGCCTTGAAACAGCAAAATTTTTGATATTACTGTTCAGAGATGTACCTCTTGTTCCGAATATTGTAAACTAGCTGGCAAACCCGGTCCGCCCGGCCCTGTCATTATTATATTCGTAATCAGCATGCTCGATTACCCCCCTGTGCCAACTCCCAGCCCCGTAGCTCTAATTTTGCAAAAAATCGATAAAATCGATATCGATCGATA